CCACCCCCCCCCCTCCCACACAAAAGCCGTGATTTTTCGTCACATAGCGCAACAATACGAACTTATGGGTGACGGAATTCGGATTTCGATTATTGTGAACCAAACTATGCGCCCCAGTAAAATCTGAGTTTATTAGGAACGTAGAATCGACCCCACACAAAACGCAATATTGTTTTGCGACAAGGAGCAACTAACATAAACGAATACAGGCCACGAAATGTGTGTCCATTAGTGTTTGGATTAGTGTGTCCATCAGTTGGAGCTTGTATCCACCGGCTATCCGAGCGAAATATCACAGCCCCGGAAAAAACCAGGTAGGAAAATATGTTTGGGGACCACTATTGCAAACTTTGACAACCCTTTCTTCCGGGATTAAGATAAACGTTTGAGCCTCAAACAAATAAAAAACAAGGGAAACCTACCTGGTGTCGATAATGTTCCCAGGTTTTGGGACCAGCGACCAGGACAACCCAGTTCTTCGACGGATTACGGTTTAAGAATGATGACAAACTGTGGACATCGACGGCATCCATCCATGCGACGTGTTCGATGTAGAACAAGAACGCAATAAGGAGCGAACATCGACGCACCATATTCGGGCTTACTTGAAGCTGTATGTGTCTGGAGTTTTATACTGCGCGTCTCCTGTGAATCAAACTTTGCTGTACAAATGTATGGCAAAGAAGTATCCCCACAAATCTAATAGGTCCGCGGTACAAAGGTTTATGCTATCATGGTATGACCTACCATTTCCATCAGCTTGTTAAATGACTGATCATTAATGCAAACCTATTCCAAAAATATGTGTTCATTGGTGAATGGTGGTGTTTTCTAGGACTTGGTTTTGCACCCATGCGCTTCGGGCAGCACCAAGAAGCAACCTGGGTCTACAAAATTGTTTTCACGTATCTACTGGCTTTATGAGTACCTTTCAGAAACCTTTGGTCCATGGGGAAATTAATACGGCTTTTTGTAACAAAACGTGATAGTAAAATTTTGTATCACAATGTGAACTGTTTCAACCTCTTCGTAAAACCAGTGACAGGAACATGGACCTCCCTGGTTAGTAGTTTATGACAAAATGCCAACTGATCCGTTACATGACTATTGGACAGGAAAGCAATCCCCTAATTTGCATCTTAATTAGAAACACTAAACATCCGTCTTCACTTGAACGCGTCTTGCTGAACGTGTTCAACATATATTCATTGAACGTTACCCAAGTTCAAACAAATGTTACAAATTGAGTAAACAGATTCCGCAAAGATCTCCTTTTCAAGCGAGTTTACTACTCACATACCTCCCTCATCAGCAGTATCACAATTATACACCACCCCTTAAGGATCGTTCGCATCCCATCGAATTACATTTACCTCCGTCAGATCGGCTTCTGCAACGGGTCTAGTCGGCAGCCTTTTAACTGTATCTTGCCGCTTACGAATCTGCGTCTCATTTATTCTTTTCGACCCCCGGCCATTTTGAATCGTATAGACGTTTTCCAGGCGATCGGTAACGACAAACGGATCCCGGCACCGACTGCCTAGCTTCCCCCACACCAGTTCATTCCTTCCAGGATTCTGGTGACCCTTTCTCTTGACCGTCATACCTATGGGGAATGTGCGTCCCTTTCGAATTACCGTTTTAAGCCTAGTCATTTCCTGAACGGCGGTTAAGTTTTCTCGAGCTCTCCTTCTTTCCTCCTCTATCTCCTCCGGAGACAAGCGCGTTGGTGGTCCCGACCCGATTTCCTGATCAACCGGAAGGCACGGATGTCGACCGTACATCAGCATCAACAGGAACTTGCCTCTGGTTGACTGTATGGAAGGATGATGAACTAGCAACACCATTGGCAAGTTCACTTCCTAGTCACCTCCTTTGGCCGCCAGCCACTCATCATCATCATCATCGATAACACGATATCAGCGTTCATCGCCAATGTCGGTATTTGAAACTGACTGCATGAAAGCTCCCGACATCGGTCAGAAGCAGTATCTTGCAGTCTCAAACCAGCCTGTGGGTATCACGCGGACCTTATCCAGAAAGGCGAGTTGCTTCAGTGCCTAATGCCGGAAAAAACGATTCACAGAAGGGAAAACAACAGCTATATTCCGAACGAGCGACTGAGTGAGTGCGTGCGAGTGCGAGAACACAACGGTCTGAAGTTAGTTATTGGAGGGACACTGTTTGAACTTGGCCCAATGCTGACACACGCGGTCTGGTCTTGGTACAAGGCTGCAACGCGCCGCATATTGCGAAGCGATGAGCAGCGCTCAGAGGAAGGATGACTTCACTGCGTGTGTAAACCTTCCCTCTGACAAGTCATCACTTGAGCAGCTAATCAGTAGGTTACCACGTAGTGTGATTTTCGCGAATGAAGGATAGGTCTGCTATATCCTGTTTAATCTGATCAACCGCTCGTCAATGAACGACTGAGTGCCCAGTCGCTAGCTGGAAGGTCGCGGGTTCGAGCCTAGCTGGAGTTTTCTGAGATGACGATAATGATTATTATTATTATTATTATTAAGGATGAAGCAACTAGACAACGCTTCTTAGTCTTTCAGAGTGGGTCAACACCAAGTGGAATTCACCGACTTTCCTCACAGCAGTATCAAAATACATTTTCCCGTAACTTTGAAAAAAATATTCAACAGCAAGCGAATAACAGTTCTCATCAGTATTCTCAAATCCGCAAAGAGTAGTAAGATGAACAAAACAGATAGATTACTCTGTTATCTCAATTGCACCGGTTTGATCAATTCAGCTGTCAAAATTCATTTTATTTATTGCCGAAACTGGATTCTAATCCTGAATCCATTAACCTGATCAACCCAAAGGCGCGGATTTTGACCGTACATGAACGGGGCCTTGCCTATGTTTGGCTGTATGGGTGCACGATGAGCTAGCAACACCATCCCAATTCACTACCCAGTTACCTCGTTTGGCCCTCAGCCACTCATTGAACGTTTGGTTATTACGTTCCGTGAGGCCATTTGTTTGAGGGTGGTATGGTGCCATCCTTAGCCGTTTGATTCTCAGCTTCTGCTGAACTGTGAATGGGATCGATTTCGACATGACAACTTTGCCATAGCAGATGTGGCTCCATTGATCCAGGGCCAAGACGATCGCTAAACATACTTCTTCGATTGTTGAGTACTTCTGTTCAGCGTTAGCCGGGAAAAGACTGGCATATTCGATAAATCCATTTCGCTGCTTTACGTCTGCGCCAACAGCGTTGCAGCGATCATGCTGAAATCCTTGAAAAAACAGGATGTAGTATTCCGCTCGTCCAGGAAACTGCCGTGGAGACCACTTTGAATTGAAAACAGCACAATCCTTGATCTTTGCTAAGTTTTCGGGCAGGGGGCTTACTTCTCCGTGACCTACATTATGACAGGGCGATGTCACCGACCTTCGCGCGAGCTGTATCTTGGTTTCATTTATCCGCAAACCAGCATCACGGCAGCGCTTGGATAACCGTCAAGCTTGATTGAGCCAATCACCAGGGCGATCGGCTGGCATGTCGAACTCCGCTCCAAGGACGCCCTTCTCGAAGGCCCAGTCTATCATCCAAGGATCTCTTCTGGCCGAATCCAGTGTCGCCTCTAAGTAGGATCTTCAGCGTCGCGAACTTTCTCCAGTAGTTCTCCAGTCCGGCGGCATCAGCTACCACCTCAATATCCTACATG